CACAGATCAGGTCAGGCTCCAGGGGGAGGGCTGTAGCGATTGCCCCTATCTCTGGATGCCTGTGTCTCCAGTTGAGTTAATTGGTTACAAGCAGTAAATTAAACAAGTAAATTCAGGCAGTAAATTCAGACAAGCAGTATATTCAAACAAGCAGTAAATTCCTCTTTCCCTAACAATGATCCAATCAAGAAGTTATCTCTCACTTCAGTTAATCCCAGATCCAGTCAAGTTGGCACCCAGGATTAGCCATTACAGTTACCTAACAAAAAACAATGCCAGACAGGAGATACCTTCCTTTGAGTTATAGGCCAGGGTGGCCCAAGAGACTCCCAGACAGTAACCCAGCATAGAACCAGGAAAATGAACAGCAGACCCCAATCTTATCTAAAGGAATATTGACAACAGCTTGCTGCTAGATGACGAAGAGCTGATCTTCCAAAAAAAAAGGAGCTATAAATAGGCTGACTAGACTCAGAAGATGGACAAGCACTGGGGAATGGCTGGGGGCACCAACAACACAGTGGACAGTAACAGGGATGACAGAGTATCTGGATCAAATGGTGGGGGGTAGGGGGAGGAATGGGAGGGTGTCAGTTGGGATGTGGGTATATAGATGAGTAAGATTGTTTGGGATGTTCTGTATGAAATACACAAAAAAAATAAAAAATTAGTTATATTTGAGGAAGAAGCATAAAAATTTGCTTCATGTTAATTAGTAGATATGAAAAAAATTATCATTGAAATCTACCTGATGAATTTATATATCCATGCTCAGGTGCCAAGGATCTTAGAAAGTAACCAACTATGACTAGTAATAATCATATATAGAGAGATTAGAGACACGTGTGAACATCTAAGTGTTAGTTGCATTAAAAAGGAGTTTTTCTGTATGAAACAGTATAATTTTAATAATGAAATGGGGATCTCTTTTGTAGGTTAAAACTTCATTCAATTTTATGTCATAGGTTTATACTGAGTACAATAATGTATAATTGTATTAACTGAACTATAAACCTAAAAATTCACAGTCAGTTTTGAAAGAGATGCATCTTAGCTCTGGAAATTGTTATTGAATATGTCAATGCTGTTGTAATGAAATTCTTCTTCTAATTATGTGGTTATTAAATAAATAGTTTTTAAAAAGAAAAAAAAAATGTTTCCAAGCCAGGCATGATGGGGCATGCCTTTAGTCCCAGCACTTGGGAGGCAGAGGCAGGTGAATCTCTGTGAGTTCACGGTCGGCCTGGTCTACATAGTGAGTTCAAGCCAGCTGGGGCTACAGGGAGACCCTGTCTCAAAAAGACCAGAAAAAAAAAGAGAGAGTGTGTTTCCTTTACCTCCTATTAGATCACCATCAAAAGTCTCAGGGATCCTGAATCTGTAGCTCAGAGGAATAGACCACCAGGGGTCAGGAAATGATGTCATAAGAAATCATCTACACTGTATCAAAGTATAAATTCAAAACAGAATTTCTTGGGTTAAATAGACAACCATGTGACAAGAAACTATACAGTTATATTCTGACCAAACCAGGAGGAGGAAATGGAGGGTAGAAGATGAGGAGAAGCAGTGTAGTTCTTTCTCAAGTACCTATTGTTTACTATTCCACCTTGTTAAATCTACAGATTTCTTTTGAACCCATATTTCTTGATTGGTTTTCACAAAAAGAGTCCTTCACTTAGCTTTGAACTTGCAAGTTCCCCTAATGAGACAAAACAAATCTGTACAGAACTGGAATTCTGTCACCACAGTGGCAGAACAAGACGGAAGTTTGAACAGTAGCGTGGTTAAGAATAAAGTGGAAGACTGACAACAGTTACAAGAATAAAATCTTACCGTTGTGTTTAAATATGTTAAAATGTGGGAATTATGGTTATAGCACACAATGTGAGATTCAAAAACCCTCAGTTTGAAGTAGCAAAAAGTAGGAAATAGATGTGAAGGAAATAGGCTATTTTCTCAAGGTTTTTTGTATTTATTCAAGTGCATGAGTATGTGTCTGTCTGAGTGTATGCCACTAGAGTTAAAATGCCTGTGGAGACCAGAAGTGAGCATAAGATACCCTGCAGCTGGAGTTATGGGCAGTTGTGAGCCACCACATATGGGTGCTGGGAACTGAACTTTCATTCTCTGGAGGAGCAGTAAGTGTTCTTAACTGCTAGGGACCTCTCCAGCCCAGAAATATGTTAATTTTTTCATCTTCGTGTGAGATTTTAGATTGAGAATCTGTGGGTTCTGGTCATCTGGGGCTGAAGAGTCAGCTGTGATTAAGAAGAGACCAGAACCTGAAGCAAAACCTTTGCTTTACTGGGACAACTGATGCTGGTTAGCTGGGGCTGAAAAATCAGCTGTAAGTAACAAGAGACCAGCATCACTGTGGTGGAATCTTCTGGGAGGCATTTCCTCAGGGTCAGCACACAGAGGGGACCTGCACCTCTATTTCAAGCTGGAAGCAGGACTTGGTAATGTGTAAGAGTCTCCTGCATGGTTCTGGTGTTGAAAGCGTGAAGGGGT